TGTTTTTAATGGATATTGTCATTTTTTTTTTTTTTTGTTTTTTTTTATAACTTGCAGTGAGATTCAGACACTGAAGAGGAGTGTTTCTATACTGCCTCCAGCCACTCTGGACCAAGACTCCCAGAATACCTCTAATCCCCCCTCCTCATCCACCACTACCACTTCTAATAACCCTCTCTCTGTGGTATGTGGTCAGTTTAAATATGTAAAGCCTCAACTGTTCATTTATGCCAGAGGTAATTGTATTAGTGTCCTCCAATAGAAGAGGTGAAAAAGTGTTCAAAACATTGAAAAGATTACACTGTGTTCGCACATTCTTATGGACTTTGACAGAAGCTCAAACACTTGACCCATCGAGTCTAACATTACTTACTGTTACTCTCAGCCTCCAGCAGATAATGGCCAGTATCTGGACATTCGAGGGGGTTCAGAACTTGAAACTGAGCTAGGCCCCCCCTCTGCTGAGAAGGCGTCACAGTCCCACCCACAGTCCCATAGCAAGCTTAAAAATCGGCCTCTTGTCCAGTTTGATCAACCGAACAGGTAAGTGGAAATTCAGGCATGCAAGCAACTTGCAAAACAGAGCAAATATGTAAATGCTGAAATACATATATGCTATGTAAACATCCTCAAAAAAATCTATTTTTGCGCTTCCTGCATGGAAGGATACAGTGGGTACGGAAAGTATTCAGACCCCCTTAAATTTTTCACTCTTTGTTATATTGCAGCCATATGCTAAAATCATTTAAGTTCATTTTTTTCCTCATTAATGTACACACAGCACCCCATATTGACAGAAAAACACAGAATTTTTGACATTTTTGCAGATTTATTAAAAAAGAAAAACTGAAATATCACATGGTCATAAGTATTCAGACCCTTTGCTCAGTATTTAGTAGAAGCACCCCTTTGAGCTAATACAGCCATGAGTCTTTTTGGGAATGATGCAACAAGTTTTTCACACCTGCATTTGGGGATACTCTGCCATTCCTCCTTGCAGATCCTCTCCAGTGCTGTCAGGTTGGATGGTAAACGTTGGTCGTCATGTTTAACATGTCATTTTGCTTCAGTGGCATTTTGGTCTGTTTCACCCAGATAGATGAGTCGGTGTGAAAATGTGGGAAAGATGGTCAAAAATGTGATTTAATGTGCTTCTCTTAAAAGCAGTTGTAGGTTTGGTGGTTGAATAAAAATGGGAAGGAGAAAGCTGTGTGACCACACAAAGCAGTTTTGAGTTTTGAGATTCAGTAAATTTGCCACTTCCCCTTTTTTTAACTGTCTTCTTTTTTATGTGGTGTCAAATCTGTGAAAAAGAAAACATTTGTTTGTACATGATGCTGAAAAAATGACAGTACTTGTGTAAGTGATGTTGTATTTGTCTGTGCATTTATGTTGTTATGGGCTATAAATTAGGTTCTATTAATTAATTTTTACAGATGTTGCTGTTAAAGTTCTTGAAAGAAAATGTAAAATTACTGGTTTCTGGAGGCAAACCACAGCCACACTGTTTAACTTAATGTAGTTACTCAAGTTGGCCACTAGATGGAGGTAGCCTACAGTTCCACAGAGTCCCTACTGAGAATCGAACTTGAGTTTTGGTCATGAATTGTTTAACACTTCTTACTCTTATCATATAGCAGCTTGTGAAACGTGTACACATTAAAGTAGTCTAGGGAGGACTTAAAACATTTCCCTCAAACTCACCACATAGTTCACAAGAAAGAGGTAGTAATGACATACAGAAGCCACTGTTTTGATATTGCATCGTCTTCAGTGTCTTAGGAAATTAACAGTCAGTTAAGGGAATTGGCGTGTATCCAAGGTCTCATACCTAATCATAGGGCCAGAAGTCCTGTTTATGGGTACATCCCACATTACCTTATTTGGTCATTTCTTGCTCCATGCTCGAACCAGCAGCTTTGTGGTGAGTTTTCGGACTATGTTTTGAAGAGGATCTTTAGCACCACTGGACTTTTTTCACAGTGTGCTACTATTTAATGTACTCACAGTCTTCGCACCTGTTGCCAGTCATTAACAGAACAAAGGCAAAACAGTGCTTGTATATTTTACTGCTGTCCCACCTGTGCTTTTCTATGTTCAGTGTTCATCTGCTCAATAGAGTACCGTGTTTTCTATACACACTAATATATTCTTTTTTTTTTTTTTTTTTTTGACAAATTCATGTACAGTTCCAAAAATTGAGTAGCAAAACACAATGAGTCATCAGCTGTTGTTGACCAGGCACCAGCACATCTATAATGTCTTGTGGCCAAACTCCATCTAACTATAGATGTTTTATCCCACTGACATATACTTCAAGTTTCATGGGAGAGTGGCTGAGCTCTCTGGCTGGGTTGCCCCATCCCATCCTCAATCATTCAGTGGTCAGGGAAATCTCCAAAGTTTTTGTGAAGTACAGATTAAGTGATACAGACTGTAGTGACTGATTTTGGTCCCTTGTTGTTTGTGTTCTCTCAGGAAGTTATCCCCGGCCTTCCAGCAAGCCCTGCTGTCCTTCTGCAGAATGTGTTCTGACAGCCGCCTGGGAGCAGAGGTCAGGATACACTTTTTTTCTGTAAATTTAGAAACAATACATTTATGACAACATCCACTCCACTTGAGCCACCCTTTTCCGACTGAGAACCATGGCCTCGGATTTGGAGGTGCTGATTCTCATCCCAGCCGCTTCACACTCGGCTGCAAACCGCCCCAGTGCACGCTGGAGGTCCTGGTTTGATGGGGCCAACAGGACAACGTCGTCTGCAAAAAGCAGAGACGAGATCCTGTGGTCCCCAAACC